ACATACAGGCTGCCCAACCTTATGACTCTATGCAACCTTAAAGTGTTGTTAATCACCTGCATTTGAATGGTAACAAAAAACTCAAGTATATAAAATTAGGTTTCAAAGTCATGAAAAAATAAGGAGTATTCTCTGCTCTGAAACGCTGGGGGTGTGTCAGGTTAAGGCACTGAAACCTTCATGGTTCTGTTCTGGTGTCCAGGGAAGATGCTTTCGCAGGACTAAAAGTACGGTTAGTTAACCGAAGGCTGTAGTAAGCGTGTAGGGGTGGATCTAGAAAGCTTTGGAAGGGGTGGCCAGGCTCAGGCTCTTTAGCTAACTTTGGCCATGCTCCTTGTTTACCTCTGGCTGCAAAGTGTCCCCCCACCACTGAGGTGAATCATGCCAGGCACACAATCGGAGTAATGAATGCAGACCTCCTCAGTACAGATAAAGCCACGGCCTTTTGCTGACATGTAGATGCATACATCGTGCATCCAAGTCAGCTGCTTGAAAAACTAGCTAATGTCTACTAACCAAAGCTTTTTGGTCGCCTAACAATTGGCGACCAAAGTGTGCGTCTTTTGTGCTCGTGCACTTTCCTCCCCTGTGCAGCACCCAACCCCCGCGGCAAATGCAACACTTACCACGTCCTATCTGAAAGTCCTTTTAATGTACAGAGATTTACATTTCTAGTTTTTGTTTAACTAACCTTATCACAGAACACAGTAACGCCGGTAGTGCTGATATGATCTGACACAGCTCATTAGTGTCACTGGCCAAAACAAAGTCCTGCTGCTTTGCTTGCATGGCAGATGAAGTGATAGTGATTGTATTATCACATGCTGAGCCTGCTGGTCCTCCCCTCAGCCTTTGCAAGAGCATCGTTGCTGAGCTGGCAGCTGGATCAGGATTTGGCAGGGCCACACTACAAGCAGCAGGCCGTGTGTTTCAGTCCCCCCGGTGCAGCAGCGAGGCCATGGAGCAGGGAACAGGTTTAATCATTTCAATGCCCGAACAGCAGCAGTGTGGTTTTCTGTGTGTTCAGTCTGGGAACACCTGGGTGAGTGTGTCCTCAGCTTGAGTTCAGAGCGAGAGAGGCAGCAGCTGCTGAGTCAAACCTCACGACCTGCATCGTACATCACTCTCTGTGCATCACAGAAGGAACAGAGAGGAGCTACTGAATACTAAGCAGATTGTTTAAAGAGGGAGCAATGGGAAAAGCAGATTTCCAAGTTGAGGGTTGGATTTTATTGTAAAAGATGTTATTTAAGTGCTGTTAAAGCAGGAAGCTGGTACCCCTCACTTTTTTCACAACTTGTTGATGTGACAAAAAACACATCATTCAAGGAAACTAATATGAACTACACCCAAGTCAGAAGTCACAGCTGGAAAAATAAAAGCTATTCAGCTTTTCTAATTGAGAGTCGGTCTCAGGCGTTGGAGCTATTCATTACATGAAAGTAGAAATCTTTAAATCTTACCCTCAGGCTGAACTGGGAGTACAGAATCATCGGTGTCACTGAGCAAGTCGGTAGCGTTTAACAGTGGAGCTCCCCTCTGAAAGGGCAATTGTCCAATCACGATGGGCAATATGTTACAGTACTTCATGGTGAAAGGCGTACTGAAAGGCTGAGACATCCACAGTGGTGGAAAGTAACTAAACTCAAGTACTGCACCTAAATTCAATTTCTGAAATATTGAACTTTTTATTCCACTAAATTAATTGTATAACTTAATTTATTAGCTACTTTCCAGAACCAGATTAATACAGACATATAATATAATATAATCACAAGGCTTTATTGATCTCTGGTGGAAAATTTAGCCACGAGCCAGGTCCAGTGATACCATTAGCTAATCAATGTAGTCATTAATGAATAATGTGATTAATTAACTCTCAGCAGTCTCTAACAGTTTCATTAAAGGTACCCACTAAAATGTTGTTTGGACCCCATTTAAAAATATCACCAGTGTTGAACCATTTTACCCCAAAAAAAGTGTCCATATATAGTTTCAACTTGTTTCAGATTTTTATTCAACACAGATCCTCTTAGAAATGAATGCTGGTTCACTGCACTGGTTCCTTTGGGCAGATTTCTTCCTAGAACACATAGAAGATAAACCCACTGTGAGTGGTGTTTTAAAAAAATCTAAAACCCCTGAAGCTCAGTGAGACTTTTTAGCGAAGCCGACTGGGGCCACTTGGCTCCTTCTGCATCATCCAACCACCTACAGTAGTATAACTGGAATAGATGTGGGACTGGAAACAATGGAAACAGGGTAGAATACAGAACAGGAGTGCAAGAATGCTGTGTATTGTGTGTGTGCGTGTGTGTGAGTGCAGGCTGCAGACAATGCGAGCCTTCACCAGCTTGCGTGCATTGTGCCTGGGGTTTCTTGTGCCGTGTCTCAGCTGAAGAAGAGTGCGGTCTTCGTTGAGCCTGCCGGAGCTTCTTCAACGCCTGCCTTTGTCATCTCTTCTCACTCTGTCCCATTGTTTTCCGTTCTCCCATAGCTGATTGATACCACTCTGCTGCAGAGACAGTGGGTTTGAAGGTTCTTGACTGTTAGCGCTGCTGTTCTTTTGTTGTTGTTGTTGTTGTTGTTTGGTGCTTCTGTGTTTTAGCTTCTGTTCTCAAACAGGGGACTCAGACAGGGGTTAGTTTGCTGTACGTCAAGGTCACCTCCTCAATATTTGGAGTATTAATGTCGCTCCCTGGGTTTTCTCCACTCAGTGGTAGAAAGTAACTAATTACATTTACTCAAGTACTGTACTTAAAGCTACAGTATGTAACTTTTTTCAAATAATTTTGTTGTAGAAATCTGCTCCAAAGCCAGTGTTAATCCTCCTGTGAGCCAGACTCACTGAACAGCGCTGGCAGCAGTGCGGAAAAATTAGCTTCTAAAGGTTTTGAGCAGGACAGACCTCTCTGACCAATCAGAGATTTTTAATTAGCTTTGCTTGATCAGTAAGTGGTTGTTGCATTCTCATTTACTGTAATATCTGCAGAGCGCAGCAGAGTGGAGCAGGAAGAGGGAGGAGCGCTGGGTGGAGCAGAATGGACTGATTTGAAGTTTCATGCTACTTTAAGTTACATACTGTAGCTTTAAACAGGCTGAAGTTTTGTAGCATTTTTATTTTCTTCTATTTTATACTTTGACATTTCAGATTACAATATTATACTGTATTGTATTTCGGCATTGCACATATTTGATTACTTTAGTTACTTCTCAGAATCAGAAAATAAAACAAACTACAGTTTACAGGAAATTCACAGGTTACCTAGCCGTACTTCAAACTAAGTATATAAGGTAGTTAAAATTAGCTCCGCCTTTACCAGCTGTAACATTAAAGTAATAACAATGATGCATCAATAATTAAAACACAATAACATGATATACATTCAGGTGAATTGTGTAATTATTTTGTTTGATGCTAAAACCTAAGATTTTGAATGCAGGGCGTCTACTTTTAACTGAATAGTTTTACACCGTGATGTTGCTGCTTTGACTGAAGTAGTCCTTCTGTCCCAGTCTCCACTCGTTTTTCTGTCCCCTGTCAGCTGTGGCAGTTTTGACCCACATCTTTTACCCTGTGTAAGAATAAACCTCTGCTTGAATAGCCACCCCTGCTGCTGAACAACATTCAATGCTGTGTTTTTATGGCCCAGAATAATTTAGGAGTGATGTCATTCTAACCAGTGGCACAATTTCACTGTTTACTTTTGCTGTAAAAGGGAGAAGCAGGGTGATGAATGACTGGGCTCCAGATTGTGAACAGCCAGCCTGTTCTGAGCAGCTCTTCTGGATGATTTAGTCAAAGGAGCCAAAGATTGGAACAGAAAAACTTTTTTTTTTTTTTCATTAAAAAAACAAAACAAAACAACTTTTTCACTTCGTGACAGGCTTGTTAATTCAACTGTCCTCCCACTGCCCTGACAAAGCGCACACACCCCCAAACACTATCCTGCCTCAGTGGTTTGGAGGCCCGTCTGCTGGGCAACTCAAAGCAATGGCAAGTAAAAGAGGATTTAGCTGCAACACCCTCGCTTCTCATTAAGTTAGACTAACAAAGAAAGTTTTGAAACATTTCTCTAATCCTTAGCTGTTTCCTTTCTTCATTGCTCCAGTGGCCAGTTATAAAACAGTTATCTTTCACTAGTTAAAGTGCCCATGGCTGCTCATTTTGCTCATTTCCAGCCACTGAATGTTTAATCTTCGCTACCTTTATATTAGCTTTGCACCCATCACAACTCCAAATAGTCTGTATTTATTTCAGAATGATAAAACCCGAGAGCCTCTTCCTAAAAATGAGAGGCTAGTTTGTGAATGTACGCACCCATCAAGACGTTTTCTCTAACTTGATTCCTAACATGATCCTAACTACATTCATTGAGGGGGTCGCTACATTTACTGTATGTCCCTTTGTTTATCTGTATGCGAGGTTAAGTTTTGGTTTTACAAAAGTATTTCTGTTTGTGTGCAGATTTAACAAACAAGCGGGATATTTTAAACTCATCAGTGCCCCCTGGTGGCAGCACTATAGTATATACCAGAGCCTCAGTTTCTAAATGACCTCAAACATACTTTTTTGGCATTTCTGTACTGTTTTATTACTTGCATTACTCTTTGTTCACCAGTATTAGAAACGTGATAAGCTAAATTCCACCACCGGTAGCAGCTAAGCTAATGTATCGGTCAGTTCTGGTAAAGCCCCTGTCTGCTCACACGTTGTAAGCTGCTCAGCTAAAGAGCATCACATTAACACCTACTGCACAATAAGGTGTGAAAACGTGACACTGAAACAACCACGTCTGCACAGAGTCATGAAACCTGGTGATTCCCTAAGGAAGATGCTGCCACGTTTCCTGACAGCCTGTATGTGTCTTTCTTACTTGTAAACTGTTTAATATATGCACTGCCTGACTGGCTGGTGTGATTGACTCATCTCTTCGTGCATATTAAGAAAGTGGTGCCAAGCTAATCATTGTTTTTCCTTGTTCTTTCTCCCTCTGCAGATTGTGCAGCCTGACTCTGAAGAAGCTGGTTGTGATGCGAGTACTTGATAAAGAGCTGATTTCTGTGGTCATAGCGGTGAAAATCCAGGTGTGTTGTAAAAACAAACACCAACAGATCTGGCACATATAAATCTGTTGCACACAAACACATTTAGTATGTCCACATGTCATGTATATTGAGCAGTAAATAACATATTGATATAATTTAGTCACTGATGAACCAAGAAAGGAAAATACTGGTGGATATTTTAGTCCTGACCACATTCTATGATATTATTCTTTTGATTCTCTTTAACATCTTTTCACACCAGCCTTTGGCTTTGGTTCATGTCATGTGTTTGTTTGAGCTATAATCCAATAGATGTAACTTCATAATTTAACTCGCTGGTCCACAGAGGACAGGAAACAGACGTGTAGACTTTTAAAGTTAATTAGTTTTGTAAAATTACCATATACAGTAAAGACCATGGGATTTGTGAAATGCAGAAATAATGTAATAAAAGTAACAAGAGTTTTAAAAGGTGATAAATTGTGCTGAATTACATACGGCCTGCACCTCAGCTATAGAATGAATAATAGCAGCAGTTGACTTGGATTGCAGCTGTGCACACTAAATTGAACACAGAGCTTCTTTCAGGGCTCCAAACGGATTTTGAGGTCCCATGAGATAGTGCTGCCACCCAGTGGGTCTGTGGAGACTGATCTGGCTCTCACCTTCTCACTGCAGGTAAAACTCATCATGATGCGTTTTAGCTGCTAAATAAGCCATTTATGAATAATTTTAGGTTTGTATTTGCTGTTCCTTATAAATTCAAGTGAAATTGCCCAGCGTTATGTCTGTGCACATACACTATACTGGTAACATTCAATATTTTTGTTATTGCCCTGTGAAATACAACTTTAATTGCTCATTATTTCATTATTAAACTATTTGTAATATTTCCTTTCTGTTTTCTGATTGCTCCACCTTCAGTACCCGCACTTCTTAAAACGAGAGGGAAACAAGCTGCAGATCATGCTCCAACGGCGGAAGAGATACAAGAACCGAACTATCTTGGGCTACAAGACTCTTGCAGTGGGCTCTATTGACATGGCTGAGGTACAGTAAGACCCTTCTGCTAGGCTTAAGTTTATGTACTTGTTGCCTACCTCAGTACAGATTAATAAGGATAATCACCTGTATTGGCCAAGTATGTTACACACAAGGAATTTGTTTCCGGTACAGAACCGATTGTGTTATTTGTGTGTGACTACGTAGATAACAAGGTTCTGGCTTGTTTCCGTTGTTTTGTGCCAGGCAGGAGCAGGAAGGAGCATCGGCTCTAACAGGCTGTTAGTGTCAGGACCGGTGTGAAAATATAATAAGAAGATGGTGGGTGTTGTGGCTGCAGGGTGACATTTAATAGAAAATTTGTCTCCTCATCTTCGCCTGGAGTCTGGCTCTGAGTCGTCTACTATAACTTGGAGCTCTTTGTTTTATACAATACAACAAAAAGCCTTGTTAAATAAGCAGATTTGTCTTTTAATTAGTCTGAAAGTGGTGCTTATTTTTGAAAGACACAAGGTAATTCCACTGTTTCTAATTTGTACCAGTTTTCCATAAAGACGCGACAAAAACCTTGTTTTAAATAAATCTTTTTAAAGTGACCTCGCCCCGCAGACACTGTTGTTTTAAAAATTCTTACAATGCATAAATAAGCGACTTGCTTCAGATGAATATTCTTCAGTACAGATGATGGCGATACACTAAGGAGTTCCCATATGGCTGACAAAGCTCAGTGGAGCTTATTAAGGTCACATCTCAGCAGCTCAGAGGAGGAAAAAAACATTTTGGCGCCAGGGAGGGGGGGGGAAAGCAGAAACACAGTCGTACTTAAGGATATAACAAACCTCTGAAAACGTACCACCTGAAAACACAGCGTAGATTGCAAGAGACTGACATGGTCTCGTAGGACCGCACGAGGAGAGGTGGCGCTGTCCGGTGCTGGGTTTGTGATGAGAATTAGAATTCGAACCCCCGGAGTGACTAGTTAAGTATGTGTATGGAAAAATAAAGAATGACGTTTGTTGTCTCACTAACGGGCCTCTGGGTAAGGCGCTCAGCCTGCTGCTGCTTCACTGACTGGTTACAGGGCACACAGCTGGGAATGTATGCAAGCGTGTAACTGAGGTTTCAGAGTGAGCCTGCAGAGACCCACCTCCACAATGGCAAAAAGGACAGATAATTAAAATGTTGTCAGACTTAAATGGAAGGTCAAACACTGAAGTGTGCAATTGACGTTGCTGTGCCCACTTTCACTCCATCTGCTTCACTGACAATGATTGTTTCTTGGTGATTTTCTGCCTTTCCTCCAATACATTTTGCCTGGCGAATGTTAGGATTCTCTTCCTACATCGTCAGGATTCTTTTCTCAAACCTTGATTCACAATATGGTGTTAAAGAAATATTTTGACATTTGATTGTTGTGCCTCTGCTTCTCTTTCCTTTCACCTCTGTCAGGTGATGCAGCACCCGACAGAAGGAGGCCAGGTCCTTCCCCTCTGCAGCAACCAGAAAGACATGCTGGGGAAGGTGGCAGAGATCTGGATCTTTTCCCTGTCCAGTCAGCCAATAGATCACGAGGAGGCAGCCCTGCAGGAAGGGCAGAAGATCAAATGCTCCGGTACACTTTGCCTCTCCTTACCCCAATGTTCTGAGATCAACCCAGCACCAAATGTGCTAAACAGAGCAGAGGTCACAGGCTTCAGGGTGTTGTTTTTGTAACCTTGCAGAGAGAAGATAAATGTAATGTAGCACAGAGCTCTGTATAAACTGTACATCATGTATATTTAGAGCCTGACTGTGTCAAATTTAATTAAAAAGGTCATTAAAATATGCACGAGGCATCTTCTACACTCCATTCTTTAATCTCCCTACTTGTCTGATGCTTTAGATAACTACTCAGAGGAAGAGTACGAGAGCTTCTCCTCAGAACAGGAGGCCAGTGACGACGCTGTGCAGGGACAGGTAAGTCTGACTGGAAATCAGCAGTGTGAAGGGTCATGAGGGAAAGCAAATCACTTCACATCGTCCTGGTCAGTGGCAATATAAGCACTCTGCTGGGGCATGAGGATGGAATAAAGCATGTGTACTACTATTGAAATGGTTTATTAGGCACTGGCCAAGGGGCCAGGGGCTCCTACACCAGAAAACCATGAAGAGACTTTGCATTGGAAAATCAATTAAGCAATTACAAAACGATTACAAAAAGCCAAAAATGAGGGGGAAAAAAAAAAAACTACAAAGACTTACAAACTACAAAAAAAAAAGAAAAAGATGGCAAAATGGCTACAAAATATGTTAAATGACAAAAAAAAATGCAAAACTAGTAATTTTTTTTTTTTAATTGATGCTAAATTATCACTAAGAAATGCAAAAGGTGTAAAAATTAACAAAATGGCTAAAACCAGACACAAGACAACTGGGACACACAAAACCACAAGAAGACATACTATGGTTGCTTAATCTGTGAGTCTTGCTCCTAGAAGTGTAGGAGAGGTCGGAGTCTTTTACATGTCTGTGCCCAGAGGCCTGTTGTCTCATAATCCATCCATACACTGCATCATTTAAGGAAAAGCTCAAGACAAGTGACCCATAAATACTGTTGTGTCTCTTGTATTCAACCCTCTGTGTTCATGACATACTATACCAATGCTCTTGTTTATTCATCTTTCTCTTGTTTTCAGGATCTTGAAGATGATGAGTACGATGTGAGAAAGCCAAAGAAACAGAGGCGGTCAATTGTAAGGACTCCCTCCATCACCAGAGTAAGAATCCATTTACACACTCAACAGGCACTGAGGAAACAAAACATTCAGATGGATGACAACATAAATTATTCTAGTCAGGTGTTGTAAGCCTCCAGAACAGTTTCAGCGCTGCTCGACAGAGACGCCCAAATCTAATCAATCTAATAAAATGATTTTCCCTAATTCTGTATTCCATTTGTGTGTGTTGAGATCTGGTGATTGTGAAGGCCATGCTGTAAAATTCACATCAATTTTACAGTTATCAGCACATTCACTAAGGCCTTGTTGTCCGTATCGGGGCATCTGTGTTCAGTTTGTCCACCAGCTGTATATTTGAAGTTCGCACAGCCCTGCAGGGAAGCAGGTCTTTGAGCAGTGTTGATCACCTCCTTAAGGTGGCGTTACATTTGGGAATCTGGCAAATGATTGGTGCTACTATAATCTATGGTCTATGGATTCAGCATTGTTTTCTATAAAGAAATCACTTTACATATGTATAGCCAAAGAATCCAGTATTGGCTCAGGAACTGCAGTTAAATGTGCTTTTAAAATAAACATCAGCTCTTTCCAGTAAACACCATCTTGAGTCCATCTTATATGTGATTCATTAGCAGATGGTGACGTGCCTGACAAGTAATATTCAACACATGTCAGTGAGCTTTAATGAGACAGTGTTAAGATGTTTTTTCTCAGAGGTGACATGGTATTATTGAGATCTCAGTGAGCAGCTGCAGGACGTGAAAGCCACAGACGGGAGGTGAGGCGTGATGTTGCAGCAAAATCGATACGCAGCACTGTAAATGTGAAACAGAGGAGCTCCTGTGCAGCAGAGCGCTGTAGTAAATCATAACTTGGTCACAAACTGACTTGTTGTGTTTCTTCTCCTGTGCTTTAGCAGCAGAACTTTAAGCAGCGCGTGGTGGCTCTTTTGAAGCGATTCAGAGTTTCAGATGAGGTGGGTGTCTTGTGTTGCTCTGGGAATTGACCGTTCTCTTGTCGGCTTACTGTGAAGCTGAACATGCTGAGACACTAAAGATGTGATGTTTATGCTTGTGTCTGTGCCCGTGTGAAGGTGCTGGACTCAGAGCAGGATCCTGCGGAGCCGCCTCCTGAGGTGGAGGAGGAAGATCTGGACCTGGATAGTGTGGAGTTTGAGAACCCCAGCGACAGCGGCCCGGAGCTGGACGATGATGACAGTGTCCTCAGTACGCCAAAACCCAAACTCAAGTGAGTGGCTCTTCTGAGGAGTGTGTGCATCTTTTGTTGTGAGTTTTCACACTAATGGTGATTATGTTACAGCTAAAAGAGACCTTGGCTGAAAGTTGGCATAAAAAGGTTTCTTTTCAAAATATTCATCGATTTATTCTGACACATAGGCTGAGTATGAAATATTGCTTTAGCTTGTTTTTAAAGGTACATTTTGCCAATATTTTTCACAGATATTGTAATTTCAGTTTTTAAAACAATAAAAAAGTGTAAATATTTTGGGTTTTATTTCTGTGTACTCATGTTTTGCAGTGTAGGAAACCTGAGAAAACATTTTTGAATAACAGGACATTTTATCAAAACATACACTAATAAGCTGAAAAGCATTTTGTTGGGGAACTTGGAGAATGTTCAGTATTCACAGAGCTGAGGTCGTGACTGGCATTCCCTAATATGGGTGCATCTTTATAAATAGTAAATTCTTCTTTTCACATAATCCAATTCAGTAGTGTCTTGTCTTTATTCCTGCCTCCATGTTCTAACACAGGCTTTCTGTGTAAGCTGTGGAGCTTCTCAGCTGAAGCCGTGTTCTGTCTTCAGTCATTCCCTCAGACTTTAGAAGGTCCTTCAGATCCACAGAAGGCATTATATAAGAGGCTGAGTAGTACGCCTCTCGACTCATAAATCGACTTTGACATGTAAAAGCAGCTCAGGAAGAATGGTCGTTTTTGGATTAAAAAAAAAAAAATCAAAACACTCAGTTCATGCACACCACTGTATAGGGCTAATTATTTTTGTTTGTGTGATGTAAGTTATAATGCTGGCATCACTAACCTACAATAAAAAAAGCTAATCAATGTGTAAAATCTGGCCATGGTAGAGTTTATGGTGCCCATAACTCCACTGAGTTAAACTGCATGTAAAACGCTGACCCAGAGGAAACTCTTCATATCACGTAAAAACCCATCAATAGTAATGTTAAGACATGTTTGTTGTCTTTACTTCAGTCCAGATTGGGGTCTTTTTTTTCTGTTTCAGGCCATATTTTGAGGGTGTCTCCCTGTCCAGCTCTCAAACTGAGATTGGCAGCATCCACAGCAGTCGGAGCCACAGGGAGCCTCCTAGTCCGGTGAGACCACAGTCACATGAACACCCTGAACAGTCTCAGTACAACGGGCTAAACATCTCAGCTGGGCAGTGCAGGTGTCCAACATGCCACTTCAAATCGGTTCCCAATCACATGCACACCTCAGATCACTGCTTCTTCTATGTTTATATAAACAAACGGGGTTACTGATACTACAGTGAAACAGCTGGAGGCCGACCAGCGCCAATGAGTAGGAAGGCTCAGGCTCTTTCACTGAACTACAGAAGAACCAAAAATCACGTCCCCCGCTTGGATTTTTCCACCAGTACGCTGGTTTAACCAGCGATAATATGATCACTAGTTTGCTTTTGCATCACGAGGTGCTGAATGAAACAACACTGTGTGAAATAGAAGTTCCTGGGGCTCCATCGTAACCAGGTCATGTTTATCCTTCTTCTCACTGTTTCAGATTGACCCAGATAAAATCAAGTGCAGTGGGGCCAAGTTTCCAGATGACAGTGCGTCTGATAACATCTCCTTTGTGAGTATGAACTCATAAAGCTGCCTAAGATCAATAACTAACAACTAGTGTTATTAGGCAAGTCAATATTTTCAGGACAAATGTGGACAAATGAGCAGTAGGTTGTTCACAGTGCAGAAATTGCATGTTTTTGTTCCTCTGTATGTTATGTATAGTTGTAGTCACTTTGCATACAGAGAAAAATACACTGCAGCTGTTAGTTTACAATCATAAGACCTAGAAACAATTAGAATAAATCATCGTGAATAACAATCAAAACCCTCAAGAACAGTCCACACTTTTAAAGTGTGAAAAGGTTCAGCATATTGTTTTGAAAAGAAAAATGCAGAAACACATGTGTTCTCACAGGAGCAGCCGGAGGCGGTGACTCCCACCACAGAGCTGGAGATGGACAACATGGACACGTTTTTAGAAAGACTGCCACCGAGTGGCAAGATGACCAAGACAGAGTCCCTTATAATTTCATCCAACAGGTAAATGTAATACTTCTGCAGGTTGGTTTTAAATCTGACATGAACCTTTATGAAATGAAATCACAGAGAATAATGAATGTGTGGCTTAATGCAAGCATCACCCACAGATCAGAGTTTATGCTTGTTGCTGCTGATGTTTACGTTAGTAATTCTGCCTCTAACACTTCAGTCCTCCACTTGTCTTCTCTCGTTTTCAGGCAGGAGCCCAAGTTGGCAGGGAGGCGCGGCAGGAGTACATCACTGAAGGAGCGCCAGCCCAGCAGACCACAGAATGAGAGGGCCAACAGCCTGGACAATGAACGGTCCCTGGACACACGCTGCCACCTGCAGGTAGGAGGAGGGAGCTGTAGGACCAACTAAAATCACCTGTAGACCTGAATGAGCTTTACTCTGGTTGTGTAAGGTTATTTAAACATAAAATACATGTTGATGGCTCCAGTTCAGTCTATTATTCCTGTTGTTTTTACATTTTGCATGTGAAAAGCCAGAGTCACTGGAGGAAACTTTTAGCGAAAATATATTACAGCCTGGAAACCAAAACTAAATTATAAGTCCTTATCTTAATCATTTTCTTTTTTTTTTCTACCCAACAAGATTCCTAGAAAGACGGTGTATGACCAACTAAACCACATCCTGGTGTCTGATAACCACCTCCCGGACAGCATCATCCTCATCAACACGTCAGACTGGCAGGGCCAGGTGAGAAACGCCAGCACAATATGTCCTACTCTGCATATATTTATTACTTTACAGTTTTTTAAAATTATTTTGGAATGAGAGAGGTTAGATGTTAAAAAGTTGTACTTGTGTATGAATACTTATAATTTATAATTAAAAAAGATAGGAGGATAGTAATTATTTAAATAATGAATTTATGATGATTTTCTTCAGGAACTGGATGCATGACATGTTTTAAAT